GTTACCAGGGGAGATGGAGAGAGGAGAAGGGGGATTAACATTGATGGAGAAATTACACTTATTAAAGGGGCTGTACAATCAACTATTGCAATTGTTGTCAATAAGTTGTACACCTATACACAGTTGAATTGGCAAAATTTGTGTGATAGATGTATTTACAGAAAGAAAGAAAAAAAGAATAGCTGCTGAAACTGCTAAGGAGCTCTGGTAGCGTAGTGATTATGAATCGGGCTGCTAACCTCAGGGTCAGCAGTTCAAAACTACCAGCTGTTCCGCAGGAGAAAGATGAGGCTTTCTGCTCCTGTAAAGATTTGCAGCCTCAGATACCCTGTACAGGGCCGCTATGAGTCAGAACCGACTCCACAGCACATGACAACAACAAGCAGAAGCTGCTTATGTACAAGCAAACACTTCATGGGATTTGGTTCCATGGTTTGGAGGTTTAAGGTCATGGTTTCATGGGACAACCCAGTTAATTCACCTAAAAATATGTTTAGTGCTTCTGTTCTACCTCCTAGTTTGTTGCATAGTTCCTGGGGTCCTAAAGGCTTACAAGCACCCATCCACAGTACGACACTGGTCTCTATTTATCTGGAGCAACAGAGAAAGGAGGAGAGTCCATGTTAAGAGGATGATATGGAATGTGTAGCTAATTGTCTTCATAGACAACTGTCTTCTTTGCTGTGAGGCCAGAAGTGGTTGGTGCCCAGTTAGCATTCCTGAGCATTTTGATTAAAGATTCCACAGAAGACTCCTGACCAAAAAGAGGGAAAATGCAGAACAGAATTTCACATTTTTATGGACCTCAAACTTTCTGAAGCCATGGAGTGTGGATGGACACCTGAAGCGATTTCTCTGAGGCAATCTTTAAACCAAACTTTAAACCTAAAGTACCCTCTGAAGTCATCTCAAAGCAAACAATATTTTGGTTTAACTAGTAAAAAATGTCTGCCTTGAGTATTATACTCTTTTAAGAACTGTCTACATGGGATCCAACTGACAATAGCAACCTGAATGGTTAGATAGGAACCGTAGGGGACAGTGAATTTACATAACGAAGGATGAACCAACAACTAGAAAAGGAGGGCGAGAGTGGTTACACAACCCAGAATGTGCTATGTGCTTACTTACTAATCTGTAGTGAACAGTTTCACATAGTTTTCACCACATCTTACTGGGTACTATGTCTCTGTCAGGTACTGTAAATTGGAAAAGAGACTTTGCTTCTGTAGGAAGGTTCTGTGGGGTTGGGAGAGATACAGATGCCAGCCATATATAAAAGTACAATCTTTCATGTGATGAAAAAAATGAAGTTGCTCACTACAGATTAGTAAGTAAGCACAGGTAAACCCATGCTTGCCTTGATTATGGCATAATCTAATACTTGATGAGGTTTAAGACAATTTTAAAGGATAAGTAGATCTCCAGCGGACACATGGTTAAATGTAAAACTGGAGTTGGTAAGGCGCAAGCTGAGAGGAGGACCAGTTCTTCAGACACTAGGCCTGTGCAAACCTAAACTAGACAGTAGTCTCCCTAGTCTGGGACAGTCAGAGAATTGACTGTGAGGTCCCTCCCCTCTGAGGGAAGACATTTCCTGCACTCTGGAGAGGTGACTGAGGATTTGTTGTGGGGAACCCAGGGACTAGTGTCTCCCGGTGGAGGGAACTCTCAATCTTCCTCCTAGACTAGGTGAAGGGCAACGGACTTGCGTTAGATGTGAAGAGTCTATCCTGAGGGATTTGAATGTATCATGCCTAGAAGTATGAGAGCATTTTCTCAAGGGTTCACCCAGACCTTTCTTTGGTGGTCTGTGTTTTGTCACAGACTGTGTGATAATGTCCCTATTGTTGTTGTTAAGTGCCTTCGAGTCGGTTTCGACCCATAGTGACCCTGTATAGGGTTTCTGAGGAGCGGCTGGTGAGTTTGAACTGCTGACCTTGCTGTTCAAACGACTTTGCAGTCCAGCGCAATTAACCTAGAGTGCCACACTAGGGCCAACGCCCCTTTATAAGGAATGGGAAAGACATATCCACACAGTAGGACACACACACAATAGGGAAAGAGAGGGAGAACGTGGGAGTGCGCTTAGAGACAAAGAGGAGGCAGAGGTAAAGGGAAAAGCATAGTGAGAAGGAATGTAAAACAAACTTCAGAACAGGAGATTCAGGGAAAGATCACGATTTAAAAGAAAGAGAGAATGGGATAAGAAAGGCAAGTATAGAAACAGCAAAAAAGGCATAACAAAACAAAATGGCTAGAATGAGTAAATGGAAGTCACCGGAGTTGAGGAGAAGGCAGAGGAGGAGAGAGGAGAGGAAGGAAGGGCAGAGGCAGGGGGTGGGGAGGAAAGGGAGGGGAGGGAAAACGATGGTATCCTTAGCTGTTGCACTGCTTCATCCGGGTATCTCCACACCCAGGAGCCCAGCCTTATTTCCGGTTCCTGGGGGCTGGTTCCCTCTGTTATCTGGGGTGGGTGCTTGGCCCCAGATGGTTAGCCTGTAAAGAGGTGGGTTGCTCTGAATGCCAGCTACAGTCATTAATAACTGAGATTAATTATGTTGCCCCCACCCAGGGTTCCATCTTTTCCTCAACTTGGCAGGACCTGCTTACTTAGAGAGCCAGTTCTGGAGGGCACAATAGGACTCAGGTATCTAGATGACCTAGGGGTTTTAGGTCATGAAGAGCCTGTCTGGAAAAAGAAGGCTCTAAAGGAGCCTGGTAGCATAGTGGTTACGAATTGGGCTGCTAACCTTAAGGTCGGCAGTTCGAAACTATCAGATGTTCCACGGGAGAAAGATGAGGCTTTCTGCTCCTGTAAAGATTTGCAGCCTCGGAAACCCTGTACAGGGTTACTGTGAGTCGGAACCATCTCCACGGCACTTAACAACAACAACCAAGAAAGAAATCTACAATGTTAGCCCTAGGGAATTTTGAGACCTCAGGGAAGAAGCAATTGTCTAGGTGGACCATTCCAAGACAGATGCTAAAAAGCCCCAAGAGGAGACAGCTGTTGTAGTGCCCAGCATGCAAGGGTGGTTCTCAGTCCAGGAGTCCTGAGGGCCCAAAGCACAAAACTACCCCAGAGGAGGATGTGTCTATACTTGTTGTTATAGCTGTTGTCAAGTGCTGTTGAGTTGGTTCTGACTTGACTCATAGTGACTCTGTATATGGTGTCCAGAGTGGCTGATGACTTTGAACCGCCAACCTTGTAGTTCAACCCAACCTTGTGGTCCAGTGCTTTATCCCACAGCACCGCATCAGGACTCCCTTTCCCACTTGTCCATTGAGTTTTTCTGTTCTTGGAAGGAGCAATCTGCTGGTGTTCCATGTACAGCTGCAGCTCCAAACCACCCTTCTCACAGAGGAACGGCTTGCAGAGGTTCTGGCAAATTGAAAGTCAATAGCTGGGTGGGTAGGGAAGGGAAAAAAAAATAAAGCAAATACAGCAAAATATTAATCATGGTAGAATTTACTTGGTGGGAATATAAGTTATTTCATATTCAATTCTTTCCATTTTTTCTGTATGTTTGAAATTTTTCATAATAAAATATCAAGAGAGGGAGAGAAAAAAATTTACCTGGCAAATACTAAGTAGGTATTCCAAAGTAAGGCATTAGGAATGTAACCCTTTTCTGGGAGACCTGACTGTTTATCCTGAAAAATGGGAATACCTGCAGATGATTAAGGGAAGGATGACTCTTTTAAGAGCTCCTCAGGTTGGTAGTGGTGGTGATGTGCCGTGGAGTCAGTTCCGACTCATAGCAACCCTGTACAGGGTTTCCAAGGCTGTAAATCTTTATGGGAGCAGAAAGCTTCATCTTTCTCCCGTGGAACAGCTGGTAGTTTCGAACTGCTGACCTTACGGTTCGCAGCCCGATTTGTAACTGCTATGAAGTAATTAGCCATTTTGCCCATTTAAGCCTTTGTCTTAGTGCCCTTGTCTTAGTTTGTTCTATCCCTCCTGATTTCTGGAACTGGGTCCAGAGTAGACCCCACCCTGCCACGTGTAACCTTTAGAGGAGGGACAGGATTAGATGTTCCAGACCCTGCCTGACACGATCAACATAAAAAATTGATTATGTTTGCTCAGGAGGTGAGGTTCCCATGATAAAGAACAGGGATAGGGTTTGGACCTAATATAAAAGATCTTGAAGTTTCTGGGAGTGACTTTGTACCCAAAAGATCTTGACGTTTCTGGGGATTATTTTGTACCAGGTGAGGAGTGACAGAGTATAGGTAAAGTGGGGGACAAGGAAGCCTGGATCTAAGTAGGGGAAAACTCAAGTCTGAGTGGGAGAAGAGGTTGCCAGGACTAAGTAGCGAGAAAAGACCTGTGTGTCAGTTAAGTAGGGCACGTACGTGTCCTTGAACTTGTTTTAGGGCTCAACTAAAGAGCTGGAAACACCTGGGATGCTCAGGGAAGTGAAAATGATCAGCTATTTTGTTAGGGGAGAAATAAGTATGACAAACATAAGCAGGCACAGGGGATTAATGTCCTACTGGTCCCAACTTCTCAACTATCCCACCAGAACTGCTTGGGCATTGATACTGGCATAGCCCCTCTAACATCAATATGCTTTGGTGATGTCCTTCACTTTTTCATCAGAAAATTCCTTTCCTGTTTTTTAACAGTAAGGAACAGGACTTGCCACCATTCAATCCAAATAGAAAGTTATTACTCTTCTGGCTAGGAATGGAAGAAGAGGAGTTGACTATAGCCAGACCAGGAAGAGCCAAATAATGGTATCTCGGAGGAACAGCATATTGAAGCATACTGTTTTCTGATCCATTCTGCTCTCTAATGTCTCTTGGCTGGTACATGTAATCCATTTACATTCAGGCTGTAAGCAATCTTTTCTAAGTATAAGACTGGATCTGCTAGGTCAGAGATGGAGGACCAAGAAACCTGTATCTAAACTGGAGGTCAGGGATGTCTGGGTAAAGTCCAGAGGGAAAAGGAGCCACCTTAATTTTTTCCTTTCTTCCCACTCCAGCCCCAGAATGTTGACCATTGCCCTCCTAGCCCTTCTTTGTGCCTCAGCCTCTGCCAATGCCAGTAAGTGAGATGCCAAGGTCACGGGAAGGCAGCCTCCTGCATTGCTGGCGGGCAAGGCATTTAAAGGCTGGCTTGGGGGGGTAGGAAGGCGGGGGTGCTAAGCTCTGGGAAGAATCAGGGTGGTGTGGAAAAACTAAATTCTCAGGGGATTTCTCTTTTCGACTCATACTTTCCCCCTTCAGTTCAGGCTAGGTCCTCCTCCTACAATGGTGAGTATGGAGGTGGCGGAGGAGAACGATTCTCCCATTCTGGCAACCAGTTGGACGGCCCCATCACAGCCATCCGCGTCCGTGTCAACAGATACTACATCGTAGGGTAAGGTTCTTTGGGTTTCTGTGTTTTGAGATCTTAGTAAATTGAAAAGTTCTCAGTCACTTTGGGTCTCATTCATTTATCTCAACAAGTCAAAGGGGTAATAATATGATATGATAAAAAGTACTTGAGAAAAACCTTCACAGCTACAACCCCTCCAGCCCCAATATGAATGACCTTAGTCATAAACTCTCAAGAGACTGGAATTTGTCTACTTCAGCCTCTACCCATGCTTTAAATTCTCCCTGCAACTTTTCCACCTGGCAGCCTATATCTTTGCTTGATGCCTCTCCTAAGATAGTCTCATTCTGTTCAATTCTATTACACAAAGCCAAACTGTCTCCTTCAGATTCTGAATCTGTACCCTGGGATAGCACCTGGACAAGTCTCTTTCTTCCACATGATAGCGTTTCACATATTTAAAAAATCCCTTTGCAGCTTTTCGGTGCCAGGGAAGGGGCTAGTGGGAGTCCAGACTTCAAATCCAAGCTCTGATACTTGTACTTTGGGTGACCCTGGACAAGTGATTTTCCCTCTATGAGCCCATTATTTATTGGCAAAATTAGGGGTTGAAGTTCCCTGTATGATCACCAATGGCTCACTTAGTACTCATATTGTGGGGATGTGTTATCCTACCAAGAGACTTGTTCTCCCTCTTACCAATTCAAAAGTGTTAGCCTGCAGGTCAAGAGGTCCTGAAGTCTGACCACCCTTCTCAGTGTCTCCCTTCCTATGCACTCTTCATCCCTACCTCTAGCCTGCAGGTGCGCTATGGCAAAGTGTGGAGCGACTATGTGGGCGGTAGTCAGGGAGACCTGGAAGAGATCTTTCTGCACCCTGGGGAATCGGTGATCCAGGTGTCTGGCAAGTACAAGTACTACCTGAGGAAGCTGGTCTTCATAACTGACAAAGGGCGCTACCTGCCTTTTGGGAAGGATACAGGCACAAGTTTTAATGCTGTCCCCTTGCACCCCAACACCGTGCTACGATTCATCAGTGGCCGATCTGGTGCCCTCATCAATGCCATTGGCCTGCACTGGGATACCTACCCCAGTGACTGCAGCAGCTGCTAAGCTCCAGCTTCTTGCTTGACAGGGGCACTGTAATGGAGGTGTGAGAACTCTCTTACAACTAACTGCCACCCAAACAGCTCAATAAAAGAACATGGCTAAAGCTAGTGTGTATGTGGGTGTCTGAGGTGAGATCTGCCTCTGAATCTGTGTGTGGATTCTTTGAATTTCTTCTGTTTGCTGAGCACGAACCTGGGAAGAGTGGGAAGATGAGGGAATGAGGTGCTATGTAAGAATCCAGGGTTTTTCTTATATATTTTCTCAAGAGATCAGACCCTGGTTTGTAACAACTCTTTTTTCAAGGATAACTCTGGAGTGTCTTTATCCATACTGGAGTTCTGAGGCTGAAGGGATGGCCGGATTTGTGGTTTATTACCAAAATCCCAGATGTTCCACTCTCAAACTCTCCTCCCCACTTGTTGTCTCATTGAGAAAGTCAAAAAGGCTGTCACCCCACTCCCTGACCATAACCACTTGCTGTATGTGGGTGGCCTGGGCCATTACCCTTTGTTCTTTCCCAGAACCCACCTGATTCCTAAAATTGACGTACATTTTTGCTCTGTCCTAGTTCCCCAGCCCAGTCCCTGCTCGTCTTTACCATTTGTCCTATTTAGTTCCCTCAGAACTGGAATTCTTTCCTTAGGAAGCTGCCACCCCTTCAACAAGCCTATCTTCTGCCAACATCAGCCTCAAAAAGGCAATTCTGAGAGGGGAGGATTGGCTAGGATATAAAGTTTCTTTAAAATAATTCTTAACATTCTAGTTCTTAGCCCTAAAAACTTCTAATAGGTTTTTAGGGGGTGAGGGGGGTGGGGGAGAGGGTTTATTCATTGATCCCAACAGATTTGTTCATGTTACAGGGAATGCTGGGGATAATTTCTTCCCATTTAGATGAAGAGAACAGTTACATACCCATAACTTTTCAAAGGAATATTAGCACTATAGGGACAAACTCATGACTAGCATGGCTCACGGTGGTGGTGTGAGTTGGTTCCAACTCACAGAGACACTGTATAGGTTTTCCAAGGGTGTAAATCTTTATGGGAGTAGAAAACCTCATATTTCTCCTACAGAATGGCTGGTAGTTTCAAACAGCTGACCTTGAGATTATCAGGCCGATTTGTAACCACTATGCTATCAGAGCTCCTAGCAACTGCTTAATCATTCTCAAATAATTAAACTATTTTGTTTTGAGAGATAAGTCATACCATTAAATACACTCTTTTAAAGTGGTTTTTAGCATATTCACAAGATTGTATAATCATCACAACGATCTAATTGAGAATATTTTCATCACCCCCAAAAGAAGCATTAAGCAGTCGATCACTCCCCTTCCTTTTCTGGCCCTAGCCCCTGGTAACCACTAATCTACTTTCTGTTATGAATTTGCGTGTTCTGGCCATTTCACAGAGATGGAATCATGGACTATGTTATCTTATTTTCTAGCTATGTTCACTTATCACGGTATTTTCAAGGGTCATTCATATTGTAGCATGATTAACACTTCATTCCTTTTTATGACTGAAAAGAAGTTTTCACAGATCAGCTATCTGGTCAACTTCAGGATAGTGTGTGTGTGTGTGTGTGTGTGTGTGTGTGTGTGTGTGTGTGTGTGTGAATTGAGTGAACATCAGTTTTGGGGGATTTTTTGGGAAGAAATTAATTTTATTATAATAAATTCAAACAGACACATCACAACAGCTAGTTTTAAGGAGGCCTCACAAACTTCTGGCCCACCCCAAATTGAACTTCACCTCAACACTTTCCTCCAGGTTGCTTCTGTTCATGATGGAGGAGAGGGTTAACTCGGCCTGGACACTTATACTGTCGTAGTTGAATGCTAAATCAGCTTGGTCAGGAAAGATGAATTTTCCTTTCTTCAACTTGAACTTCTTGATTATGCTAATCCATTTGCGATTGGACATTGCTTCAGCACCTTGCTGAACCCCTCACAGAGCTTCAGGTCACCCTGGTTCTGGGCACACTCCAAAAACTGTTTCATCTCAGTGCAAGGGCCTCACTGCTGCTGCTGCCCTTATGCTGCGGGGCGCCCTGAGGCTCCTGGTAAGTGATGGCAGGCCTTGCTGCAGGCTCAGCATGACTTCCTTCCTTGGGTGGCGGCTTGGCCCACCGTGTGCACGACAGCAGAGCTCACAGCCACGCCAGTGCCAGCCACTGGGGTCACCATCCAGGTCATCAGACCTGGCTGCCTTGGGGCAGCAGTCCTCTGAGGCACCGGACTGGTGCCTGGCGGTGCGGCACTGGCTTCCACGCAACATCTTCACTTCGTGGCGGAGGGGATTCTGGATACAGGAAACGCTGAGGATCGAACTCAGATGATCAGTTTTACATTCACCAGTTCATGCACATTTTGTTTCATCTCATTGATCGTAACCCCTTCAATGTAACATCACTGAACCCATTTCCTCCCTGTGTTTCCTGTTTCCGTTCCTTCTTCTTTCCTAACCCTTCTGAACTTTGTGGTTGGGTAAATACGGCCCTTTTAATCTCAAATGGTTGATTATTCTAAGATGTGTTTATTTCACTAGTGTTTCTGTTCCCCTTATCTATTCTTCGCCTGAAAATTGAAACATGGAGGTGAGTTAGGCTCTAGACTTGAAGGGGAATAAGGCCCATAGTCTTAGGAGGTCCACCCATCTCTCTCTGAGCAGTCTGGTCTCTTTTATGATTTTGAGGAGCATTTCCACATTTTTCTCCTACTCTATCCAGGACCTTCTAACGCGATTCCTTTCAGATTGGTTGGTAGTGGGAGTGGAGCACATCCATTTCTGGTCTCAGGCTCATGGAGACTGATGTTCATGTGGTTCATTAGACCACTGGATTAATGTTTCCATTTTCTTCAGTTTTCTTCTTTCCTCTGAACAGGGAGAGACCAATAGTTGCTTTTAAGATTCCAGTCACTACTTATCAAAATATATGGATACCAAACATTGTCTCTGGAGACTGTCTTATTGCCAGTAGACCTTAGCGTCCCCCAAGACTATAGTTCTAAGCCCCCAGGCCCAGTGACTCATTCCCTCAAGGTGTTCAGTAATGTCTAACAAGTTTCCATAACTTTGCCTCTATATGCTCTACTATATTCATGGATAAATTTGCACAAATATTCAGGATAGCTTCTAAACCAGTGATTTCACATTATGCCCAGTGAAGGTACCAGCGCACCAAGAGGCCTCCATGGCAGAAGGCAACTAAGTAGTCACTTTTCCAAAAGACTTTGTCTGAAGAAAAGTTTTTCTTGATTAAAAAAAAAAAAGTTTTTAAATGGTTAAATTGAACTAATCACACATTTATCAAACATTCCCTGCTAAGAATTGAAAATATAAGCATTTGGTTATTCTTCTCTAACCAAACAATTTTATTTCTAAAGGTCTTTTTCACAGGATGTTATGAGAGTACAGAAAAGGCAACTAACTAACTAATTCTCCCTGAGGGGCAGTGGATGTTAGTTCTACCATGTTGCTCTAACACAAATACCACAAGTGGATGGCGTTAACAGGCAGGAATTTATTCTCTCATAGTTTAAGAGGCTGCTGTTGTTAGGTGTTGTTGAGTAGCTCCCATACATGTACATATATGTATATATATTGTCACGATGTACTGTGGAGTCAGTTCCAACTCATAGCAACACTGTACAGGGTTTCCGAGACTATAAATCTTTACGGGAACAGAAATACTCATCTTTCTCCCACAGAACAGCTGGTAGTTTTAAACTGCTGACCTTAAGGTTTGCAGCCCGATTGGTAACCACTATGCTACCAGAGCTCTCTCTCTCTCTCTCGCTCATTTCTCCATAGGAGAAAATATATTTCCTTGATTCCTGATTTTGGATTCAGCTATATGACATGTTTTACCAGTGTGCTGTTAGCAGATATGATGCAAACAAAAGCTTGTCAATTGCTTGTCCAGATGACCTTGTCCTCTTGTGCCTCTATCATCAGTTGAGAAGACTATGGGCCCAGAATGAAGGAACACGAGTGGAACAGATCTAAACACAACCTACAATGAGGAACTGAGCTTAGTTAGACCTACAGTTTAAAATAGAGGCATCCAGTCTAGATTAGCCAGAATAAATTATTTTAAGTCACTCTGTGTTTGGTGTTACTGGTTACACAGCAATAGCTGACTGATACACAATGCAAGACTTGGTATTGAATAAACAAAAACCCATTAGAAAAAAGTAGGTTTGGAGATCCACTTGTAATGGTCAATTAAAAAATATATTTTAAAGCCAAAAATTTTTTAAATTTAAAAAATCATGGCTCATGTCAGACACACCATAGTATTCAAAGTGACATTTTCACTTTTTAAAAATTTAAAGAACTATTTTGCAGCAGATTTGCCCAATGTGCCACACAATTTCTTGACTGCTGCTTGCATGGGCATGTGTTGTGAATCTAAGTAAAATGAAATCTTTCGTAACTTTGAGATTTTCTTTGTTTTCATGATGCTGCTTATTGGTCCAATTACGAGGATTTTGTTTTGTTTATGTTGAGTTGCAGTCCATACTGAAGGCTTTGATCATTATCAGTAAGCATTTCAAGTTCTCTTCACTTTTAGCAAGCAAGATTGTGTCAACTTCATATTGCAGGTTGTTCATGAGTCCATTGTCAAAAAGAACATTTCAAGATCTCTTTTGAACTACAATGCTTTCTGTGATAGAATAATATTCACTCACCCGTAAGGAAGACCTGCTAATAATCACTATTATTCAAATTATGTGCTAACCACTAAAACCAATGATGAAGAAACTAAAGAATTCTACCAACTTTTCAGTCTTAAATTTGATAAAAATGCAATCAAGATGTATTAATCACTACTGATGAATGAAATGTGAAGGTTGAAAACAAAGAAGAAGGCTACATCGTTGAAAAATATAGCCTTGGTGATAGAAACTATGTGGGACATGGCATGTAAGAATTTTGAAAGACCAATGACTTATTCATTGCAAATACATTTCTCAATAGCATAAATAGCAACTATACACGTGAATGTCCCCAGATGGAATACACAGGGAATCAAATTGACTACATCTGTGGGAAGAGATGATGGGGAAGCTAATATCATCAGCTAAAACAAGGCCAGGGCT